AAGGTCAAACAACCTCTATACAACGAAAGGAGACTGCGACCACCCAAAAGGCCACATCATCCTGGTCTTCATAGCTTTGATTAATAACTATTAATTAAAAGAAAATACACGTTTTGAAAAATCTCATGAAATAATATTGTTTTAAAGAATTATATTTTGTATGCAAGTAATTGATCAAGTGATTCGTAGGTCAATTTCCACCTCTAAAAAGAATTTCCTGCAATGTGTATATAGAAAAATGTGTATATAGGAAAAATACCAGTCAGTCTTCATGACTTTGATATGACTTGAAGATTCTGCAAGAATGAGTCCTAACTTTGACGATATTCTTCCTACAACAAACAAAAGCTAAGTCTGTCTTAGCCCGAAATGTTGGAGGATGTCTTGTAGCCTGAACGTCGTAGTAACGCCAAACGACTGCATTGCAAGGCGAATCAGCAGGCGTCTTCAGGTGAGATTGCCCTACGAATCTCTTCATCATGTACTTTCATACGAAGTGAAAGTCTTTACATCAATCTTATCTCAGAAGCTTCTACCGAAACTGCATTTTCTTAGTATATACAATGCACAAACAAACAGGAGGTTTAGCTATGGGATCGTGTTTGTCACCAATTTTAGCAAATAGTTACATGGCTCAATTTGCGGAACGCCAAATTCAGGAGGCGCTTTTATTTTTTATGTTATTAGTTGCTATATGGATGGCTACTTTGCCGTCTGGCAGCATCTCAATGAAGACCCAGAGAATTTTCTTAGTTTGATGAACAAGACGGATGGGAAGAAGAAATACACGGTCGATTTAAAAAAGGAAGGTGATTTACCATTTATTGATGTTATAGTTAGCAAAGAGGGGACCGGATTAGGTAAAGATGTAAATATGGAACCCACAAATGCAAATTTCTATTTGAAGATCTTTTCTTGCCACACTTATGGAGTTAAATTTGTAGTTATGACGTCTGTAATAAGGAGCCTACATCTGGCAGATGATGAGCATCGCGACCAGGAATTGAGAATTCTGGTTGAGAACGGTTATCCACAAGAAGGATGGAGGGAAATAGGTATTTGGGGCAAGATAAAAGGTTAGACTTCTCTACCAGAGTCCTTATACAACCATCGTGTTTTCTTTTGAAGATAGGTAAATTATTGAGGAGGTGGGACATCAGGACTATTTATAAAGATAAAACAACAGTTTCATTGGTATTGCTTCATTTACAAGAATACTCTGACCCTTTCTCCAGATTGGGCTGTTACAATATTTTGTGTTAATGCAAAAGAACCTATGTGGGAGAGGCCTGTAGACCCATGCGTAAGAGGTTTTATGAACTCAAAACAGCCTGCAATAGTCTGTGGGTCCCAAATCAGAAGTTGCCGAGCATACGGCCTGCACAGGACACCGGATAGATTGGATATGTGGACTATACCAGTGAGCAATAGATGATTGAGGAGATAGAAATCAACCAAACAGTCAACACCCTGCATAGAAGGAAGGAGAGTAAGAAGTTATTTTTTGTATTTAAGTAGAGTAAATCAGTAATATGAGATGTATTCATCCAATTTCTTTTGTGATGAAGGACTGGAGGTAGAATTGTCCCACAATAATAGAAGTAGAGCTGACGTTTTCATTCAATTTCACATTGCCTTGCTCTCCCAAAAGTTGTTCTCAAAGGGTGATTTACCGGTAGTCCCTAAACTCTACTCACATACAAAAAATAAGTAACGTAGTCGGTTGTTATAGCAAATATACATTTGCTTCATCGACACTCCCACCAAAGAATGTTATATAGAAAAAGGCCTGACCCTCCTTGAAATTCATATCTGTCATTTGACCCGGGATCACTCATGGCAATGTGACCGATTGGTTAACGTGTCAAGCTCCCTTTATGCGCTGTCATGGTTCGACTTCCGATGTGAGGTCGAAACTGAAGTCCAGCCTGGATGAGAGCAACTTTTAGGAAAGCAAGACTATGTGAAATTGAATGGAAACGTCAGCTCTACTCATATCATTGTGGATACAATTCTAATACCAATACTTCATCACCTTAAACGAAATTGGGTGAATACCTCTCATACTGTAAGAAGTTAAGCAGAAACTACTTGTGGCTATTGGATGGGATTCGAGAGAGAGAGAGGGGGGCCAAGAATTGTCATCTAGCAAGAAGAGGAGGCTTGATAAGGCTCGAATCTGGTTTTGACTCTCACGTCACACTCATTCCACGAGCAATGCAGTCACACAGCAAGTGTGCAATGGAACGCAATCACATGCGGCAGCATTGCAGGTTTTAGGGGAGGATGCAGCTACTCGGTCACAATTGCCCTCATTCCGCGCCCCATCTTCAGCCACTTAACTTACATTTTCAGCAAACATTTAGGCAAAGCATAGTATATCCAACCAAAACATGAGATGCCTAAATGAGTGGACCAAATTGGACTATAATAAGTTGGTAGGTTTGAAGCAAGCCACCTTTCTTGCCTTCGTGTTTTGGGTGAATTATCGTTAACCATAACGTCGTGCTCTGACGATTTCTGTCACATGACGGACGATAACTTAACCGGGATTCATCGCGATCGCAGAGCGGAGCGCCGAAGACCTATTTGCACGAATCTACATCCACAGCTCCAAGGCAATCCTCCTACAGTTTCCAGCGATGCCAGCTTACGAATGAATCCCTTCGATTCGCCTCTTTAAACTAAATGAAAGGTACTCCAACATTACTGTAAAGTAATTTCCTCAATTCCCAATAATTGTATAATGATATTCTTATAGATTGGTTACAAGTCAGCCCTAGTTTAGGCACAAGCTGTGATTAGAGTATACGATAATGATCATGTTCGAGAGGATTTTCTTAGCATTAACCTTCATTTGTAGCATATGCTACAACTAAGTATAGCCATAATTGTCAGGGCCAAATCTCACTTCTTCTCCTCTCCCCATCTTGAACCCCAACTTTTCTTCTAATAGGTATGGGCTATTTAGAAATTAATGCCTGCATGTTTTCTATGCCAGCAGATAACACTTTAGTTGTTGAAATATCGTAAAACTTCCTTCGGATGTAGACGTCCGTCTCTTTACGTTTATTCCGCAAGTAATGGTGAAAGGGAGGACACGATCAAACTAACGTAGAGAAGGTAGATTTTCTTGACTATTATTGAAATTTGGGGAAGTACAAGTTTGACTCATCGACTATCCCACCATAAGTGTGATATCAGAGAGGCCTGGCCAGTCTTTGAATTCACGTCTAACCCATGACTAAGGAGCACTTGTGGCAGTATGGCGTAGATGTTACATAATTGTTGAGTTTACTTCCATTTAGAGTGAAAGTGCTTGGTGAAGAGATTCGATTCCGCCAGAAGACTATGGAGGATTCCTCTTGTCCTGCTGACAATTGGCTCTACATGAACATAATTGTTAACGCTGTTTCTAAGGTAATCTCTATCGATAAGGCGGAAAACGTGCTAAGCTTTAGTCCATCGTATGATGAACATCATCAGAGCAGGGTATCATCGTTACAACCAAATTCAAGCTAACAAGTCAAGAATCTTCATCATCTTCTTCATAAAATGCTGTATATATACTCTATATCTGACTTCTTTGATGATGTATAAAGTGTTTTGCCTAGTTATTTTGATTAGCTTTTTTTATCTTAATGTGAAGGAGAAAGTGTAGGATAAAAGTACAGAGGAATCACAGTGATTAGAACCAAAACGAGAAAAGACTAGCTGAGTCGTCCGAGGTTGACACATGACTGGAATTAACCCAATTACTTTATACCTAACCAAAGAGGTCAGATATATAAAATATATGCCGGTGAGTTTTTTAGACTCGCTGGCCCGAATTTGATTGTAAGGATGACACCTTGCTGTGATAATGTTCATCAAAGGATGGACGTAAGCCTAGCCCATTTTCACCGGATTCGAATGAGATTACCTCGAAAACAACATTAACAAGAATGTTCCAGTAAAACTGGTCATCTTCTGGGGAAATTGACCTACATATCTTTCAATCATGTTCTTAAATATTAAATGAAAGTCCTCATAACTATTAATTCACCAAAATATTTGTATTTTATTTAGGTTTTAACTTTTGCGTCCTAAACGTCTTTCAAACCAATGAGTTGGCTCAAATATGATTGCAAAATCTAACATGATTCGTGCAATCATTATATAATGTTATAATAATAGACATATTTTGATAGACAATTTTTTACTGATGCAGATCGGCCTGAATAATTGTTGAAGTCCTATTGGAGTGAAGTGACTTTTAATGAGCTATGAAATTTTAATGAAAGATTTTATATCGTCGTCAGAGCACTGATGGTGATCAAACTCACTTAACCATTTTTAATTATATGGGCCAATTAAATATCGACATACAAATCAGCTGCTTAGACAAAAGGTATTTAAAGACAGCATCATAGTAAAGTCAACCAGCCAAACACAATTCACTTTGGCCCCAGATTAAGACTTCATTACTTTAAGTTTTT